GGGGGAGCCGAGCCCGGCCCGGGAGCCCGAGCAGCGAGAGTGCGGGGTACCTAGGCCTCTCACGCTGGACTCCACAGTCTCCGGGCCGCCTGACCTCCGCACGGGTATATGGGATGGAAGCGGGACCCTCGGGAGCAGGTAAGAGCCTCCGCGAGGGCGGACGGTGCGTTCTCCAAGGACCGGGGGGCTTCCGCGTGCAGAGCATGGCTTCCGAGTGAAGGAAGGGCTCCTCAGTGAAGAGAGGGGCTCTCCTGGGATGGGGGGCCCAGTTTGAAGGGGGCTGTATGCAGTTCCGGGGGAGAGCCCTGTGAGGAGAGCCCCGAGACGGGGGCTGTGTGCCCAGGAAGGCTGCGTGCAGCCCTGGGGGTGGGAAGTGACCTGGGATAAGGCCCTGGACTCTCGGAGAGACTCCCAGAGATCCGGGGAGGCCCACGGAGAGGCCCGGCAGGTGGCAGGGGGCGGGCTCCAGGTGTCCAGAATGGGAGGGGGGCGACACAGATGGGCCTGGCGCTACCGCATGCCGGGGGCGGGGGCTCGGCCGCGCTGGGCCGGGCTAGGCTAATTCTCTAGGGAGAAGGCGCCAGAGCTGGGCTGTGAGCTCCGCCCCAGCTCGGGCTGACGCGGGGGCGAGGGTCAGGGGGCGGTGGGTGGGGACCCAGCCCCGGGATTTCCCCCCTGAGTCTGGGGAGCCTGAGCGGAGGCGCCGGAGCATGCGCGGAGGTGGCAGCTGGAAGGGGCTGCCCGACGTGGTGGGGGCGTGGCTGCTCTAATACCCCCTCCCCTCCCCCGCCCTTTAGGCTTGGAGAAAGGAGCGGGCTGATGGGGTGCATTCTCTCTAAGGTTTAGCCCTGCGAGTCCAAGCGGAAGTGGCCCCCTCCCTCATCCTGGGGGTTCTTACACTTGGCCCCAAAGCCCCTCAGTAACAATTTGCCAAGAATCGGTTGAGAGGAACTGCCAAAAATGCGTTTTTTCTGCCACATGGGGAAAGACTGGGACCGAAGCAATGTTGTGGGGCAGATTCTCCCTGCAGATGGGCTTTAGCAAAGGTGAGGGTTACCGCGGGACTGAGGACAGGCCACGTCCCCACGTCTACCTGGAAGGCGGTGTCTGTATGGTTTGCAAGTTTCTGGTCCCCTACTTTGAGAAAGTGGGCATTTTAATTCAAGGATAATGGCCTTTTCCCGCAAATTGTTTCTTAAGGTTACAGTCTAATCTCTGGTTTCTAGACCTTAATATTTTTATGGCTCCAATTTCCCACGGGATAGCTTTCCTTTTTACCTCTCTCCATTTCCCAGTAAGTGTCAGGGCCATGTCATCAGAGCCCAGGTCTAATAGACTAGCCAGCTGAGCTGGTCGGCACTTGGCTGCTACAAATAAGCTGTTTGGGGGAGGGGCAGCTGATAGCCTTCACTGGGTCGTCGTAGGTGATAGCTCTGCCCTCTTAACTGGCAATCAGGAGAAAAGGAGCTAGGAACAGAAGAGGAACTGAGGCAGGCTGCCCCAAGAATGCCCAGAATGGGCTGTGATGTTGGTCCTTACGTCCTAAGTCTCCTTCGCTGTGAGGAGAGGACCAGTCCGCATCTGGAAATCCTTCAGGTATTCTCTAACCACCTCCTTCCACTTGGTCTAGGGACTAGAACAGGGTTTCTGTTAGGGACACGAACTACATTGTTGATGCTTCCCTCGTGGAAGAACCTCCATCTCTGAGACCAGACCTAAAGGCCCCACCAACTCACTCAAGTCATGCATGTGGTCAGTGATGTGGACCAACTTGGCGATTACTCTTCCACCTGCAGCAAAAACAAACTTGTAGACGCCGTGTGTGTCCAAAGGTTGAGTGCAAGGGGCAGCCGACGTCAGTGCAGACTGCTTCCTCCCTCCATCAGGGCCCTCCATCCCAGGAACTGTCCTGATTTTCTATTTACAGCACCCTGTGGACTAAGGGGGAGGAGGCCACTGAGGTCCAGATGGATTGCTGGGAGCTGGCACCCATTCCAGGCTGCTTACGATTTTATCATGCTGAATTTCCAGTGGGCTTTGGGATGATGAAAAAAGTTGACTTTGTTGCTTGTTAAAAGAAATGCATTCCTAGGAAGGGGCTACAGCCTGCTGTCCGGAGCTAGCCATGCAAAGCCTAGTGGGATAGCCTTTGTCTCATCAGAAGGTGTCACTGAAATTTGGTCTGGAAGCTGGAGTTGGAGGAACCCTATAACTCGCCTTTAAGGACCCAGGCTGTTATTTTCGGAGGAGGCTGGAATGGTGTTCTGAGGTGGACAGAGAACACGGTGCACAAAGCGAAGGCCTTGCCTGGCCCCGAGAGGCTCAGGCCCTGGTGTGTTTCAAGCTCGCATACTGAACTGGGAGCCCCCTGAGGGCAGAAGCAGTTCCTGACTGGTCTGTGAAAACAGGGAGTGCCTAGAATACGGGCCCTAGGACACGCACAACACGTGCACCGTGTTCAAGTGTGAACGTGCGTGGATGTTTAATAATTCGTGTATACTCGTGTTCTGGACAAATCCTTTATGGAGAGCTTGGCCTCCTAGTCTTTGCTTACCCACCAGCCACCATAGACTAGAGTCTGTCCAGTGAGTAGGCCCCTGGGAGGCTGTGGGCCTCAGAGGTGCTGGGAAGGGCTCCCCAGCCCTGGCTTTCAGCTCCTACTCTTCCTTCCCCTGGCTGGTTGGGATGGGGGAGGGGGAGTGTCCTTTTCAGGGCCCCTCCCTCCTTGCTTTTGTCTGCAGGGAAGAGCCCCGCCCCTTTCCCCCTAGGCCCAAGCTTTGTCCTCTGTGCTGGGGCCCTCATCTGCATCACAAAGTGGCCGTCTGTCCCTGTCTGGGTCTGAAGGGAAGTGTCTCCCTTTCTCAGACTAAAAGCTGGGGGCAGGGTGGGGTAAGGGGGGGAGCTTTGTACAGCTGGGAGGCTTTGGGGGTGGAGTGGAATGGGGAGAGAGCCCCCCTTTCTCCCGCCTTCCCCAGTTTGGGGATGAGGGCGGGGTGTGGGCACCGTGTTTTCCCAAAGCCTCTTGGAAAGAAGGGTGCTCTAAGGTGAAGTCTGCTCGTCCTGTTTCGAGGGGAGAGATGGTCTTGGGGCTGCAGTGTCCCACCCTCCATCAGTCCTACCCAGACCCCAGCCTAGGGGATGCTTCCATCCCTAGGCCCAGTTCTTCAGCCTGGGGAAGCAAGGAGGTGAATGGAATGTCAGAACCCGGGGAGGGGGAGGCTGTCTCTGACCAGTTACACCCACAGGCGTGCCCCGACCGGTGCGGGGTTTGTCGTTCTGGGCAGTGGCAGGTGTGTGTGTGCTGTGTGCACTTGTGTGTCTTTATGATGTGTCTGAGGGTATGTTCATTCATTCGTTTCCCATTTGTACTGAACACCCGTGTGTGCCAGGCACGGAAGACTCAGCAGTGACCTCGGCAGACATAGCCCCTGCCTGTGAAGGACTCAGTCATGGGTGGCGGGTGGCGAGGGCTGCGGGTGTAAAGGGGAATTGTCAGGGTCTGGTGTGTGTGTGTGTCTATGATTGTGTGCATCAGTTTCTGTCCCAGTGCCTTCTGGAGTCGTCGTCAGGCCTTCACTTCCGTGTGTGACAAGTTCTGAAAGCCTTTTCCCTCCAAGCAAGGCCTCCATTTCTCTGTCTGCAGAGTGGGGCTGGGCTTTGACAGGTGTTCACAGGGAGACTGAGCAGCTTAGCTCTGGGAAGTGCACCCTCCCATGAATGGCTCTGACCTCTTCTTGACCCCCAGCTGAGCGTGCCCCCCCTCCTGCAGCCAGCCCGTCTGACCGTGACAACCAGCCCTGGTGATGGGAGGTTCCCGCTGCTTTTTCCCTCTCCCGTCCCACCTGGGCTTGGTTCTCCACTGGCCTGGATCCGTAGTAGCTGAAGACAAAGGCTTCTCTCAGGCGGTTTCCCTTTTTTGTCTCTTCCCCCCATAAACTAGAAACTGACTGGGGCAGTAGTTAGGCTGGCTGCAGGAGAGGAGAAAGTGGCTGGAGCCCGGCCTGCCCTGTCCCTTTCCCAAGGGCCCTCTCTGTCTTGAAATCGATCGCTCCTCTGCTGTCTAGACCTTCAGTGTGGAAAGATCTGTGGGCCATGAGATAATTTTGTGTTCTCCTTCCCTGAGCCAGTGTCTCTCCCTTCTCCAGCATTCTAATTGCTGCCTCTCCCACCTCTCGCTCATTCAGGTTCTTTCTTCCTTGTCTCCTGACTGGCAGCCTCTCCTCCTGCCCTAGATCCCAGCTGTAATCTGTTTTGCCCCAGTCCCTACTGTAGCCTTCCTCCCTTCCCCTGTCAGTTCAAGCTTTCTCTCCTGTGACCTCCAGTTCTGGCCTTTTCTCTAGGCCCCCTACCTCCGTGTCATCCTCGCTCCTTGACTCAGTATCCAGACTCTCCGTTTAGCCTTCCCCCCCTTCAGCACTCCAGCCACTCAGTTGCCTTAGTTCCACCTGGAGCACTGCCCCTCCCTTCACTGACCTGGCCTCTGGACCTTCTCCTGCCTGCACTGCAGAGGAACATCCAGATGATGCTGTGTTGCGTTCGAGGGTGATGAGTGGCTGAGCATCTGGCTGGGTCTGCTAGCTACCTCGTGGAGGCAGGCGTCTTAATCTAGTAGAAGGAAGAAGCAGTTTTGTTACTGGGAGCCATGTTTAGCCCCTCCACCTAGCATGTGATAACAACATACATATATTCAGTTAGTGAATTTAAGAGAGAGCAAGGGCAATTTTCTTAACTGGAGAGATTAAAAAAAAATCCCAGGGACCAGCAGTTAGCGTAATGGCTATGTCTCTGGACTCCCACGTAGTCGGTCGCGGTTCGCATCCTGGACCAGGTGGCTTAAAAATCACGCCGGGTGCATGTGCATGCGTGCCCAAGATCCCGAGAGGAGAATGGAGGAGAAGGGATTGCACCCCCCGGGGGTGATTTCTCGCTTTCTGTCTATCTCTCTCTGTCTGTCTGGTGAATGCACATGCCCTATAGCGAAAACCTCTCCCAAAAAAAAAAAAAAATCCCAAAGCAAAAAATGAGTGAGTCTGAGCTGTCTGAACCAGTGGAAGTCCTCAGCTGGCTGGGTACCAGGAAAGAGGCTCCCGCCACATCTGCCTGTTCCTGTTCTGAAAGACCTTGTGCTGTCTCTGATCTCTGATAGCTGCGAGATTGCCAGGCTCATCAGCTTCTTTGTCTTGTAGCTGCGGGTGCCTACCTGCCCCCCCTGCAGCAGGTGTTCCAGGCACCTCGCCGGCCCGGCATTGGCACCGTGGGGAAACCAATCAAGCTCCTGGCTAATTACTTTGAGGTGGACATCCCTAAGATCGACGTCTACCACTACGAGGTGGACATCAAGCCCGATAAGTGTCCCCGTAGAGTCAACCGGTAAGTGATACACATCTAAGCCACCAAGTCCGGGAGTCTTTGTTTTCCTAGTCTCAGAACCTTGAAAGAGGGGCCAGAAGGTAAAAGAAAAACCAGTGGAGGATGGTATCACCAAATCCATGGGAGTTTTTGAGGCGGAGAAGGCAACTGCTAAAAAGTAGCGTTGGATCTGGCTCTCGGTCGTGTTGGTGGCTGTGCCACAGCGGTTTTCGCCGAGTGGCAGGGCTAGTTAACCTAACTACAGGGACTCGAGGAATAATGAGGGAGGCCTAGCAAGGAGAGCTGGCTTTTTCCAGATTGCTTAGAAATGAAGTGGGAAAGGAGAAATACGCTGGCCTAGAGAGGACTAGAGGAGCCAGTGCAGTGCCCGGCACACCTGGTAGTTTTTAAGAACGAGCCATGTATGTTTATACGCTGAGAAGGAGCTAGTGGAGAAGAGGTTAAAGGTACAGGACAGAGAGGGGGGGATGCAAGCAGGACCTCTTTGTTGAGGTCTGAGGCTGTTGCTGGGCTCATAGCTGGAGGGGTTAGCCTTAGGAAAAGCAATATTTCTTTCTAAAATCAAATTTAAGTACTACTTAAAACCTATGTGCATGATATAAAAAATTCCAGTATCACAAAAAGGGTAGCAATGAAAAATGTCTCCTTACAGTCCCGGTCTCTGGTCCCCCATATCCTATCCCCAAAGGCATCAATTAATTACTACCATTCTTGAGTATGCTTCCAGATATGCATATGCAAACATAAATGCATGTCATATAGAACATTTTAAAAACCACACGAAGTGTTGGGTTCTGTATACTTTGTTCTGTGTCTTGCATTTTTCCACTAAACAGTATCTTGGAAAATGAGACATAACTGTGTGTATCTGCTTAATTCTATTGCATAGTTCCATGGGCATTCTATTGAACGGCTGTATTGCCTTACTGAATAAGTCTATTGAGGAACATTTAGGTTAAGTCTAAACTTCTGCTACAAAAATGAAACTGTGTTGTTAGTATATATATAGATAGATAGATAGATAGATAGATACATTTTTGCACTGAAATGTGAGTGTATCTGTAGGATAAGTTCCTAGGAGTGGAATTGCTGATGCAATACATTTTAAAGTTTTGAGATTTTGCAAAATTTTTAAAACGTATGGTGTATTAATTTCTACTCGCATCAGCAAGGTATCAGAGCGTCTGTTCCCCGTATCTGTACCAGACCAATATATCAGAGTGATTCTTCATTTATTTTTTTTTAATCTTTGGCATTCTGATAAGTAGATAATTAGATCTTGGTCTAGTTTTTAAATTGTATTTCTCTAATGAGTGAAGTCAAACATATTTTTATGTATTTATAAATAACCTAGTGGTTCAGGGAGCTGGGTCCTGGAGCCAGCAGTTGGCTTGGTGGTTAAGTCTCTGGGCTCCCACATGGCTGAATGTGGTTCCCAGACCTCCCTGCTTGAAAATTACACCAGACATGTGTGCATGCGTACCCCAAATCCCAGGAAGAGAATGGAGGGGAAGGGATTGCAGCATAGCCGTCCCCTCAATGGGGTGATTTCTCACTTTCCCTCTCACTGTCTCTGTCTGTCTCTCTCTGGTGAGTGCACACACCCAATAGCAAAAGAAAAGGTGGGGGGCAGGGAACTGGATCCCATGTGTCTGACTATGTGATTTGAGTCCCAGACCCAATAGTTTGAAAAACACATTGAGTGCGTGCTCATGTATACCCTAAATTCTGATAGGGTGGAGAAAAGGGATTGTGGTGTGACCATGCCCCCGAGGCATGTTTTCTCCCTCTTCCTGGATGTCTCTGTGTGTCTCTCTCTGGCAAGCGCACATGCCCTCTAGTAAATGAAAACAAAACAAAACAAAACGAGTGGAGAGGTCAATGGTTGGATGGCCTGGGACTTTGAGGGGATGAGGGACACTCTGGGATCTAAGCCAGAGAGGACAGGAAGTGAAATCAAGGCCAGGGTAATGCAGGCAAAGCAGGGTGGTGGGAAGAAGCGAGGTTCTCCCCCACGTTCATTCCATGTCCAGTCTCGATCTCTTTCAGTGCTGCCTTTATTGCTTGTTAGATTGGGGGTTGGAGATGGGGACAGCCTTCATTCTGTTCCTGGTTCTAGACGGGCTCTGCGATCAAGCCTTCTCACAACCTCCCCTTCCTCCCAGAAGGTGCTCACGCCCACACGTGCAGGTCCCTTAGCGCCTTCGTGACTTGAGGACCAGCAGGATCATATGGGGCGTGTTAGAAATGCTGAATTTCAGGCTTTGCTCTAGACCCGCTGAATCGAAAGCTGCATTTTAATGAAGTCTCCAGGCGATACCTAGGGATGTTGAAGTTGGAGAAGTACCGTGGAGTGGCGTTAGGAGTGAGAATAGTGGATGGGACATTGCGTGGACTTTGAGTTACTCGCAAAGCTTGCAGTGGTGATGTCCCAACTTCCATCGAGCACTCCTGTCCCCACAGGGAAGTGGTGGAATACATGGTCCAGCATTTCAAGCCTCAGATCTTTGGCGATCGCAAGCCCGTGTATGACGGGAAGAAGAACATTTACACTGTCACAGCGCTGCCCATTGGCAACGAGCGGGTAAGGCCGCGGTCAGGCTGGTGACGTGTCAGGGCTGGGGTGGACAGACCTCACCTAAGCCTGTTTGGAGTGCGGTGGTCTGGAGAACCTTTTGGTCTTTTGTGCTGGGAACGTGTGTTGTAGGACAAGGAGTGGGTGGGTGCTGATGTTTATTTCGCCTGTTACTGTCTGTCCCTGTTCTGCACAGACTGAGATTAGCCTTAAAATAGACCTAAAGGACGTTCTGCTAGGTTGAGAGGTGTTTGCCAGACACAGAGTCCCTGAGCCAAGGTGACTAGAAACTCAGGAACTGGATTCACTCTAGGGTCTTCATGGTGAGCCCCTGGCAACTCAAGGAGCAGAGTCTAGGCACACCCAGGGGTGGGGGTGGAGAGGGAGGGACAGAACGCTGATCTGTGGGAAAACAATGGCCATCTTTAACCCTCTTCTCTCACATTTGTAAAGGTCGACTTTGAGGTGACAATTCCTGGGGAAGGGAAAGATCGAATCTTCAAGGTCTCTATCAAGTGGTTAGCTATCGTGAGCTGGCGCATGCTCCATGAGGCCCTGGTCAGCGGCCAGATCCCTGTTCCCCTGGAATCTGTGCAAGCCCTGGACGTGGCCATGCGGCACCTGGCATCCATGAGGTACCGGGTGTAGTTAATGTCTGGGTTACTAGTGTTGACGGAACTTCGTGGGGGGTAGGAGGGATGAGCATGTATTAAGGTCCCACAGTGTGCCATTCAATAAAAAAGAAAGAAAGAAAGATCCGAAGCCCTACCATGTGCCAGGCAAGTATGCATATACATTCAGGTGGTTAAAGCCCTGCCCTGCCCTCCATAGGTATCTTTGGGCCTCACCCCATCTGTCCCTGCAGGGCAGAGAAAAGGGAGATTTGCACAAGGTCAGTCATACAGGTCGTGAAGGATCAGAGCTGGCATTAAAGCCCTGGTGTCCTGCCTTCCAGGCCAGGGCTCCTCCGTGCCCAGGATGCCTCACAGGGTGGGGGCCTGTGCCCGAGGGACCAGTTCTCTGCCTGTCCCTGCCAGGTACACCCCTGTGGGCCGCTCCTTCTTCTCACCGCCTGAGGGCTACTACCACCCGCTGGGGGGTGGGCGCGAGGTCTGGTTCGGCTTTCACCAGTCTGTGCGCCCGGCCATGTGGAAGATGATGCTCAACATTGATGGTGAGTGGGGAGAACTATGGAGCCAGGGGCACCCCAAGTCCAGTGACCACACTCCCGGCCTTATCCTTCCCAGCTCTGCAACCACACTCCTAGTCTAATTCCTACAGCCCTGGCACCCCTTGCCCCATCCCGATACCCTGTAAGGAAGAGGGTGTACATTGCAGTGCCTCCACTTATCCTGGGTCGCAAAACCTGAGCCGAGCTGTCCCCACCCTATCCCCACAGTCTCAGCCACCGCTTTCTACAAGGCGCAACCCGTGATCGAGTTCATGTGTGAGGTGCTGGACATCAGGAACATAGATGAGCAGCCCAAGCCCCTCACGGACTCTCAGCGTGTTCGCTTCACCAAGGAGATCAAGGGTGAGGACCGGAGCGGGCAGCTAGGGGCAGTACTTTCTCGTTAGCCCTGAGAGAAATCCCCTCGGCACACGATCCGGAGATGCGGTCCTGTGGGACCCCTCTTTCACCCTGACAAGCAGTGTGTTTAATCCCAGGCCTCAAGGTGGAAGTGACCCACTGTGGACAGATGAAGAGGAAATACCGCGTGTGTAATGTCACCCGCCGCCCTGCCAGCCACCAGACGTAAGTCGGCAGGGCTGCCGAGCCGTGCCCTGTGGGTGGAAGAGGCCTGAGGTTTGTTACCCTCCCCTCCTCCCCCGGCCCTGAGACAGCCTTGGACTGGCTCTGTCCCAAAGATAAGCCGAGGGAATGTGGCACCCCTCCTCCAGCCTCCCCGGGCCCGCCCAGTCCCTGCCATTCTTACCTTGGCGATCCTCTCCTTTTCTCCTTAGGCCTTTACTGTGGAGCAGGCACGTTCCTCTGGTTCCTGTTACAGTTTTATAAATGTTAGGTTCTCTCTGTTTATTCTACTTCCTAAAAAAAGAAAACCAGGCTCCTGGGTTCCACCTCGGGGAAGCTGCCACTGATTCCCTTCCTTTCTGGACTTCAGGCTACCCTGGCCTAGAAGTGCCTACTCTATGGCAGGCTTTGTGCTCAACCTTAGAAATACGAACAAGGGCCAGTAGATGGCACAGTGGTTATGTTGCTGGACTCCCACGGGGTCAACTGCTATCCAGTCCTAGACTCAGGAGCTTGAAACTCACACTGGGTGCATGTGCATGTGTGCCTAAGATCCCGAGAGGAGAATGGAGGAGAAGGGACTGTGGCGTGGCCTTGCCGCCGGAGGGTGATTTCTCATTTTCTCTCTGGCAAGTGCATGCACCCTATGGCAAAAAATCTCTTTTAAAAAAAATACACACACACACACACACACACGCACACGAATAAATCAGATACCATCATGGGCGTTGTGGAACTTGCCTGTCAAATCTTTAGCATCTTGGTGCTGGCAGTTGGCACAGTGGATGGGGCACTGGACTCCCACATGGCTGACCATGATTCAAGTCCTGGACCTGGTGGCTTGCTTTCTCACTTTCCCTCTCTCTCTCTGTCCTTCTCTGATCAAATTAAAATAAACAAATAAATAAAATAATAATTCTTTAAGAAATAAAAATCTTTGGCATCTGGCCTGGAGCCTCATACTACCATGTGCCGGTGCTCAAGGAGGCTGGGCGGGAGGAAGCTGAGTCTGGGCCCATCATGGTTGTGGGTTGGAAAAGTGTGAGAGAATGCTGGGTTATGACACCTTTCCTTCCTCCACACAGGTTTCCCTTGCAGTTGGAGAGTGGACAGACTGTTGAGTGCACAGTGGCACAGTATTTCAAGCAGAAATATAACCTTCAGCTCAAGTATCCCCACCTGCCCTGCCTGCAAGTTGGCCAGGAACAAAAGCATACCTACCTGCCCCTCGAGGTGAGGCTACCACGTAACTGCAGGGCTGGGAACAGGCATTGCGCGGGCACGCTGGTTGTCGGAGGGCCGTTTTTCCATCCCTAAGCTCTCGTGCTTGTGCTGGACATTCTGAGAGCAGGTGAGGTAGCTCTCCGGGTAGCCTCATTTGTACTTGTGAGGTTTCTTTTCCTACCCCATTCTACCTCGTGTTCCTTCAGGGCAGCCAGCAGAGGCACAAGCTGTATTTACTATTTCTGAAGTAGTCAATTAGTTCAAGACAGAGATTTCAGATACCCACACTTCTGTTCTCTCTCTTTTTTTTTTTTTAAAGAGAGATTTTTGCTGTAGGGCATGTGTACTCAGTGGAGAGACCAGAGAGAGAGACAGAGAGACAGAAAGCAAGAAATCACCCTCTGGCGGGGGATGGCCACACTGCAGTTCCTTCTCCTCCATTCTCCTCTTGGGATTTTGGGCACACATGCACCCAGTGTGAGTTTTAAACTGCCAGGTCCAGGGCTTGAACCACAGTCACCTACGTGTGAGTTCAGCGACTTAACCGTCACGCCACCTGCTGGTCCCACACGCATGTTCTCTAATTTCCCTTTCCCTGCTGTCTGGAGCTTAGGATCCTAAGTGATTGGGAGACACAAGAGTATTTTATTCTATAGAAAGTGGAGCCAATGTTATCTGTAGTGTAGCTCCTGTTTTCCTGATAATTAAGATGTTCCTTTGAAAACTTTTTTAGTTCTAGGATTTGTCATAGTGTTATACTTCAGTAGACCTTTCCAGTCCATAGTCAAAGAACAGCAAAGCTGTGTAAGTCATAGTCTACAAACACAGGTTCCTTGGGCTGTTACTTGGACTTTTGGCATGAACTAGCTGAACTGTCTTCTGCGTACTGATCGGATAGGCATCACCTGGGGACCTGTTTCATATGTAGTATGTCTCCCTTCTTCTAGATTTTTCCCAGAGAGAGAGAGAGAGAATTAACCTGCTAGGGGGAATGGCCAAGCTGTAGTTACTTGTCCTCCATTTTCCTCTCAGGACTTTGGGCATGCAAGCACACCTGGTGTGTTTTTCAGGGAGTCTAGGGCCTTAACCACCATGCTACGGGCTGGCCCTCAGGCTCTACCCATTCCTACTCCGTGTTTTCACTAAGATCCAGAGAAGACTCTTACACACATTAAACTGGAGAAGCACTAGCCTCAAGTGCTCTCTTGTCCCAGCAGCAGGAGTCAGATGGCTTGGATCAAAACTCAAGCCCTCTGTGAGCTTTTGAGATGTCAGAACCCACACACGGGAATTAGCTGAAGGAGGAGGAGTTCTCAGAAACCAAGAACTATGACTTGGTTAATAGTAACCAACGCACAGAAGGTGGAATGTTCTCTGAGGTATGAGCAGAGGTCTTTAGAGACAGTCCCAGCTAAGCAGATAGTAGGTAGTGTCTACAACAAGCTGAGGTTTGTTAGCAAGTTAATATTTTTTCTCTCAACAGCTGTGTCCAAGGTGGCTAACTTATATAGTGACTTAGATCTTGATTTTTATATGTTTAACAGATACTTGCTGAGCTCTGACTGTGTGTCATTTAGGTGCTGGGAATATAGAGATTAATAAAACAGATGAGGTCCCTGCTGTCATGGAGCTTAAATTCTAGAAGTGGGAGATAGACAGTTGATATGTACATTAGTTTCAGATGGTAGTAAGTGTTATAAGAATACGGTAGGTTACAGGATGAAAGGAGGGTAGGAGGTCGAGAACTATCTTTGTTATTTTTGTCAGGGAAGGCCTCTGGGAAGCGCTTCCCAGGCAGGAAGAATAGCAACTACAGAGGCTCTAAAGCAGGAGGGAATTGGGGTTTTTTTGAGGGGTGGACAGGGGGCCACAGAGGCTAAGATATATTGCATGAGGAAAAAAGTAATAGATGCTAGACAAAGGTGCAGGGTCAGATCATACAGGGTATTGTGGCCAGGTAGGATTTTTAAATTTATTTTAGGGACCAGCAGGTGGCAATATGGTTATATTGCTGGATTTCCACATAGTTGACTGTGGTTTGAGTCCCAGACCTGGTGGCTTAAAACTCACACTGAGCGCATATGTGCATGCCCAAAACCCTGAGAGGAGAATGGAGGAGAAGGGATTGCAGTGTGGCCATTTCCCTGAGGGGTGATTTCTCGATTTCCGTCTGTCTCTGTCTCTGTGGTGAGCGCACGTGCCCTACAGCAAAAACCTCTCAAAAGAAAAAAAAAATGTACTTTAGAATAGCATTACTGCAATATCATTCACATACTATCAAATTCCTCCTCTTAAAATATACAATTCAGGGTCAGCAGGTGGCATGGAGGTTAATGGGACTGGATCCTACATGGCTGACTGTGCGGTTCAAGCCTTTGACCTGAGGGCTTGCAAATCACACTGCCCATGTGTGCCCAAAATCCCAGGAGGAGAATGGAGGAGGAGGGATTGTGGTGTGATCATCCCCCCTGGGGTGGGTGATCTCTCCTTTTCTCTCTCTCTCTCCCCAGCAAGCACACATACTCTATAGCAAAAACTAAGATTAAATACCATTCAGTGGTTTTAGTACATTCACAGAATTGTGCTACCACTGTCACTGATTTCTAGAACATTTTTGTCAGCCCCAAGGAAGGCCTTATTTATTAGTCCCTCACTCTTCCTTCTATCCCTCTTAGTCACTAGTAACCACAAATCTACATTCTGTCCCTGTGGATTAGCCTATTTTGGACATAGATATTAGGTGTTCAGGAAAGTTATGACTTTTTGTCTTAAGAGAGATTTTTGCAAGACCAGCAGGTAGGGCAATGGCTACATTGCTAGACTCCCATGTAGTCAACCACTGTTTGAGTCCCGGACCCAGTGGCTTAAACTCACACCAGGAGCATGTGTGTGTGTGTGCCCAAGATCCCGAGAGAAGAATGGAGGAGAAGGGATTACGGTGCGGCCATTCATCCTGGGAGGTGATTTCTCACTTTTTGTCTCTCTGTTTCTGTCTTTCTGGTGAGTGCACACACCCTAAGGCAAAAACCTCTCCCCCCCCCAAAAAAAAAAACTCCTCCATTCTCCTCTCGGGATCTTGGGCACGCACGCACACGCGCCCGGCGTGAGATTTAAGCCACCGGGTCCGAGACGCGGACCGCGGTCGACTACGTGGGAGTCCAGCGACATAGCCATTACGCTAACTGCTGGTTCCCTAAAATAATAAATTTTTTAAAAAGAGATTTTTGCTATAGGATGTATGCCCTTGCCAGAGAGACAGAGACAGAGAGATAGAAAGTGAGAAATCACCCCCTGGGGGGAGGCCACACCGCAGTCCCTTCTTCATTCTCCTCTTGGGATCTTGGGCATGCATGCACAAGCTCCTGGTGTGAGTTTTAAGCCTCCAGGTCTGGGACTTGAACTGCAGTTGACTGTGTGGGATTCCAGCAGTGTAACCATTTCATCTGCTGGTCCCTGTATTTTTCTATGCAAAAATGTGTCTTGACTTTTCAGACGCCCCAATAAGTGGAATCATACATTATGTGGCCTTTTGTGACTGACTTCTTTCACTTGGCATGTCAAGGTTCATCCATGCTGCCCCATTGTCTAGGTGTGTTATATTTGGCTTATCCACTTATAACTGGATGTTTGGCTCATCACTTTGTGGCTATTCATAATGAAAATTCATGAGTACGTTTATGTGTGAATCTATGTTTTCATTTCCTATAAGTATATACCTGAGAGTGAAGTTATATATGTAATTCCAAGTTTAACATCTTTTTTTAAAAAAAAAAATTATTTGGGTCCAGCAGGCGGCCTGATGGTTAAGGCACTGAACGCTCCCACATGGCTGACCATGGTTCGAATCCCAGACCTGGTGGCTTGCTTTCTCACTTTCTCTCTCTCTCTCTCTGTCTCTCTCTGGTCAAATTAGAGTGGATGAATGAATAAATAAAATTAAATTTTAAAAATTATTATTATTTATTTAATTTTATTTATCATTATTTTTATCTTTTATTTGCTATAAAGCACATGCATCCATGAGAGAAAGAGCAAGTGAGCGAAAGTGATAAAGCAAGCCCGCTGGTCTGGGACTCAGTCTTGGCCATGTGGAAGTCCAGCGCCTTAGCCACCACGCCACCTGCTGGCCCCGAGTTTACCATCTGAGGAGCTGTTGAACTGTTCCCCAAAGGGGCTATGCTGCTTTACACTCCCATTAGTCAGGAATGAGTGTACCGGTATCTGGCCAGGGGGTTTTATTCTGACTATAATAGAAATCGGGGAGGATTTTAAGTAGACAAGTGCTATAGATGATTTCGGTCGCTACAGTTAGAGAAAGAACTCGCCAGTGTCTCTAGTCCAGGCGTTTGTCTTCTCCGTAGTTATCCAGGCCAACTGGTGTCAGCAAAATTATTTGTTGATGTGCAAGTCATAGTTCATTACTGCTTGAGTCTTTTCTTTTGCAAAATGTGGTAAAAAACATAATATAAAATGTATCATTTTAACCACTTGAACGTGCAGTTCTATGGCAGTAAATGCATTCCCACTGGTACACCATCACCATTATGCATCTACAGAACTCCTCATCATCTCACACTGAAACTCTATACCCAGTAGATAACAGTGCCCCATTTCTCCCTGCCCTTGGCCTGTGACAACCACCATTCCACTTCTCTCTCGGGATTGACCACTCTAGGTGCTTCGTATAGGTAGAGTCATATACTGTGAGTTTCAAAAAATTTGTGGAAAATTAAAGTACAGATTTATTTTGGTACAAAATATTTTGAAATGTATGTGTAATTTTTCCTTTTTTTGTATAATTTTTTAAAATTCATTAATTTATTTTAATTTGACCAGAGAGAGATAAAAGATAGAGAAAGTGAGGAAGCAAGCCACCAGGACCGTACTGAGCCGTGTGGGAGTGTTCCGCTCCTTGACCACCACACCACTTGCTGGGCCCCATGTTGGTTTTTTTTTTCATAAGTATTTTCCATAAACTTTTTGGAGGCCCTTTGTACTTTTTAAGTTTTTTGGGTTTTTGTCATAGGGCTAATGTGCCTACAGGAGAGAGGCACATTCTTGTTTAGAATGTTAAATTTTCCTTCCTTTTTTTCTTACTGCCCATAATTTGCAGTGGGGCACATACACTTGCCAGAGAGAGAGAGAGAGAGAAAGAAAGAGAGCGAGTGAGCGAGCACCTCCCGTGGAGGATGGCTTGCCACAATCCCTTCTCCATTCTCCTGTTGGGATTTTAGGCATGCATGCACTCCTGCCTGGCATGTTTCTCAAGCTATTGGTTCTGGGACTCCAATTATGCTCTTGGCCATGTGGGATCTAGCCAGCTGCCTTAACCACCATGGTTCCTGGCCGGCCCAAACACTGTCTTCCTTGTAAAGGCTGAAGAGTGCTCTGCTGTACGTATGCACACTTTGTTATCTCTTCTGTTGCCGTGCACTTGGGGCGTTTCCACCTTTTGGCTACCGTGAGTGGTGCTGCGATGCGCAAAGGTGTTCAGACGTATTTGTTCACGTTCCTGTGCTGAGTTATTTGAGTACATACCGGAAGTAGAAATGCTGGCTTGAAAAGTAATTTCGCGTTTTGAGGGATAGGATGCCATTTTTCACAGAGCTCATACACTGCTTTACATCCCAACTGTAGCACACAGACAGTCCAGTTTTGCTGTATGTAGTCGCTTTTTTCTTTTCCTAGTTTGTTATAGGGTGTGTGTCCTCGCCAGAGTGAGAGTGAGAGAGGAAGAGAGAGAGAGAGAAAGAAACCACTGTCCCAAGGGACATGGCCATACCACAGTCCTTTTTCCTTAATTGTCCTCTTAGGATTCTGGACATGCATGCACGTGTGCACACACACATGTCCCCAGTGTGTTTTTCACGCTGCTGGGTCTAGGACTCGAACCATGCAGTTGGCCATGTGGGAGCCAGCCACTTTAAGCTCCATACCACCTGGCCAGTGCATTCTGCTCTGATCTTTGCTAGTGTTGATCTGGAGCCTGTAGCCATCTGTAGAGAGAGTACTGCAACTTCAAGGTGCCTTTGAGAGAACAACCTCACAAAGTTCAACAGTTAGCGAACTGGAATACGGAGTTTAGAGGCAGGTGCCCTTTGCCTGGTTTCCTGTCCCATTGTTTAGCAGGACATCTGGGAATTAGGACAAGGACCCGTACTTACAGAACATAGGTGTGGTAGCAGGTCGGACATTTCACTTCATCTGAGTCGTCCTGGCAGCCTCCTGGGGAAGCTGCTGTCCCCCGGGTGGATTGTTTCCTCCATGTGAAGTCCATGCTGGCTTTTACACACAAGTCTTTCCAAACTTGTTGACCCTCCTCTGCTACAGGCCCTGGCGTTCGTGGCACCCTGGGTGTAGACTGTTGGGGAACAGAGGATTGACATAGCATTAGACAGCCTTTTCTGATCTTCATTGTGTTCTCTTTGGCCCAGAACAGGTGAACACAAGCGGGCGACAGAAACAGTGATTTCTGTAGCCTGAAGGCGGGGTGGGTGAGGACAGCCCGGTGTCATCCTCAGCTGGGGCTCAAGAGTTCACAGCTGGGGCTGGCAGGTGAGGTGGTGGTTGAGGTGCTGGACTCCCACATGGCTGACTACGGTCTGAGTCCTGGACCTAGCGGCTTGCTTTCACACTTTCCTCCTCTCTCTCTGTCTCTCTGGGCAAATTAAAATAATAATAATAATAATGACAAATAAAACTAAATAAACAAGTCCTTTTTTTTAAAAAAAAAAAAAAAAAGAGTTCACGGTTACCCTTCTCCCCCTCATGGGTTCCAGCTGATGGTCTACCACCTTGAGAGAGCTGCCAGAGGAACTGATTTGCATATATTGCGTTTTTCAGTATTCAGATGGACTCTGTGCTTGGTTCTTGGTAAATAATAATTTATGCTTTGGTTTATTTAGTGTTTACTGTGTCCCAAAACTGTACTCAGTCCTTTAAGCGGTTTGTTTTATTTAATCACAGACATCCCTATGAGACTGTGTTGTTCTCATTTAATATGCAATACCTGAGCCCGAATCTGGCTCTGGATCTTAAGTGCTTAATGAAGAGGTGGCTATATTGCCTTTTGTTTCATGTGAATTTTTCTTTTTAAATTTAAAAATTTTTTTTTTTTTTTTTTAGATTTTTGCCATAGTTTGCATGTGCTTGCGCCAGAGAGAGAGAAGGAAAGTGAAAACTCACTCCCCCAGGGGGCTGTTCCATAGTCCCTTTCCCTCCATTCTCCTCTCAGGATTTTGGGCATGCATGCACACATACTTGGCATGTTTTTCAAGCTGCCAGATCTGGGCCTCGAACCGCAGTATTGGCCATGTAGGATCCAGCACCTTACCATTCACACCACCTGCCGACCCCAATGTGAATTATTTTTTAACTTACCTGTCCTATAAACCTCAAGGGGAGAGTTTATGTGCACTGGGGTTTAATAGTCTTCCCGGTGGCTGCCAGCTCTCTTCTCTCGCTGTGGGGTTTTGGGTACAGGACGTACTGTGCTCAAGCCAGAGCTACCTCTGCTTCTCCTTTCCTCAGGTCTGTAACATTGTGGCCGGGCAGCGCTGCATTAAGAAGCTGACCGACAACCAGACTTCGACCATGATAAAGGCCACAGCTAGGTCGGCCCCAGACAGACAGGAGGAGATCAGTCGCCTGGTCAGTGGGACTGCAGAGAAACGCATGCAGCTTTGGGGCCCTTGGTAGCATAGATGCCTTCACGCCCCTGCAGGACCTTCTCGTGGGAGAATGCGAGTCTAGATTTGTTACTGGGGCCCTGTAGGGCCGCTCTTGCTTCTGACCCTGTAGCTATTTTGCCTTCTCTCTCTTTTCCCCTCCTGCATTCCTTCCCTGTGTTACCCACTCCCACTTCTCTCGCCTTCCACTCCGCCCCTCCCCGCTAGGGCTTCCCCTGGCCAGTCCCAGCATTTCCTTAGGGCTCTCCTTGGAACCCAGAGGGTGAGCCAAGCTGCCACTCTCCTGAGGCTCCCCTTCCTTTGCCCTGCAGATGAAGAATGCCAGTTACAACCTAGATCCCTACATCCAGGAGTTTGGGATCAAAGTGAAGGATGACATGACGGAGGTGACAGGGCGAGTGCTGCCGGCGCCCATCTTGCAGTACGGCGGCCGGGTGAGCAGGGTCAGGGCCAGACAACGTCCTCTGGGGCATGTGGGGGTGGTTGGGCTGTCCAGCCAGGGGCTTTGGCTCCCCTGCACACTTGGCTCTCCTGAGGCTCACCTGGGCGCCCCCTTTGCCTATCCCCAGAACCGGGCCATTGCCACACCCAATCAGGGTGTCTGGGACATGCGGGGGAAACAGTTCTACAATGGGATTGAGATCAAAGTCTGGGCCATCGCCTGCTTCGCACCCCAAAAACAGTGTCGAGAAGAGGTGCTCAAGTAAGGAGGGTTGGGTGTGGGTTTGGGAGGGTGGGAAGGACCCTAGAGCTGCCTGTCTGCCTCTCTCCAGCAGGGGCACGGGTGGGCCAGGAGTCTGCCCTTCCTGTCTCCACTGCCTTCCTGCTCTTTCCAGCTCAGACTTCTGCTTGCTCCTTGTCTTTCATCAGTCGTCCGGAGCCTTGGATAAGGGCTCTGTGTTCACGTCAGAGGTGATGATTTCCTGGGGAGGCCCACATTACGTTACTGTTAGTCGTTACCATTGTTCACAGTGGTGGTGATGGCCGTAATGTTTATGCCAGCGTTGTACTTAGGGCCTCATTCACACTCTCTCATTTCATCCTCGCAGTGAGTAGGTGGCGCTGTCTCCATTTTCAGGAGATCAGACTCGAAGAGGTTAAGTAGCTTGTTCAAAGTTTGCTCACTAGCAAGGCAGCATCAGAGCCGATCGAATCAGATCTGAGTTTCAAACTTGTGTTCCTAGTCGGAAACCAAACAGAGCAGTTGGTCTGGCTGGTCCTCTCAGCCATCCTCTCCTACGTGCAGCATTGGTCAGGCCCAGGTGACTTGAATTAGGTGACCGGGAGTTGTGAGGGCCTCTGTCCTGCTGTGGCAGAGGGGCCGGCATTAGATGGCAGCAAGAGGGGAAGCATGCAGCCCAGTGGTTTAAAGAGACAGGTGAGTGGGGGCCCGGGTTTGATTCCCAGCCCACCCCGAAGAGCCAGGCGTGGTGGTGTGCAGCTGTGGTCCCAGCTAGTCGGGAGGCTCAGGCAGGAGGACCACACCACCATGAGGCCAGGCTAAGAAAAATGCACTTGTGCATGCGTGCACTGGGAAGAAACAGAAGTGTCTTAGTGAGTGGGGAAGTTGAAGAGTCATTCTTCTCTTGCAGTCTTTTTTAAACAGTTTTATTGAGATATGTTTAAAATGCCAAAAATCTCACCCATTTAAAGTGTACAGATTGGTGGTTCCTGCCGTCTCTTGAAGTGGTGACTTTTTGTTTACCCTGGATCAGCCGTGGGGTCCGTGTACTCTGGGGCGAGGAGGAGGAAGTGGAGCCGACAGTTGGGGGAGTGACCGTGGAGATGTGGGCCCTGGTGGGCTCAGCTGCCCTGCAGTCTCCTGGATTAGTTTGAGTGGCTTCCAATGGATCCAGGGACTTGACCCTGCCCTGCCCCTCACTGCTGCCCCCTACAGGCGCATACTCACTGCCATCCCACTGTAGCTTGTCCCCTTTTCTGGATTTGTGGGATTTAGCCCGTGAAGACCAGGAGGCTCACCCCTTGGCCTGGCGTCGGAAGGCTGGACCATCCCTTTGTGTATAGGAGGGGCTCGGCCCTTTCCCTTCGTGTCGTGGTCACCTTTCGGTAGCCCTGTTTCCTTTGTGCTTCTCTCTTACTCCGTGTCCTGTCTCTGTCCAGTTCTTTTGGGAAATAATCCATTGTTTTGGCCACTTGGGGGATAGGATCTGATAAATCTAGACTCTCAAGACTTGGAATGGGTCAGTTCTTCAGGCATCCCCGCCTCCCAGTGAGCCCTAGGTGTAGGGGTAAGAAGCTGGCTTGTGCATGTGGGTCAGTAGTACCCAGTTGGATGTGCTGTTCCGGGATAAAGACGGAGATTTCATCCAGCCATGGCGATATGTGGGACTGTCCAGGGATAACGCAGAGAAAGTGCCGAGTAAACGAGGAATAGTCACTAAGTGCGAATGAGCAGGGGTCCAGAACACAGAGAGAGCGGGATGGCACGGAGCCAGCTGTGGCGTTGAAGAAACTGATAGCCAAGGATGGATGAGGAAGTTCTAGGTCCAACTCTGAGAACTTTTCTTCTAGCCAAAGAAGGCCCATTACTTCCACTCTGTCATTTATAGGTCAGGATTCAAAGACCTTCACCATCCTCGACACCTCAGCACTTGTGGCAGTGACGTGGTATATCACAGGGTGGTCTGGCAGTGGAGAGAGGGTTAGAAATACTGCTTTCCTTGAAGCAGGGACCACCGTGGAATGTGGTAACGTGGGCCTTTGAGCAGCTACACTGTGGTTGTCTATAAGGCAGAGAAGGGGGTGGAAGGCTGGGAGCAGTTCCTCAGGGCACTAGCTCTTATGTGAAACCATAGAGAGGTTTTATGTTTTTACTCTAACTTTTATTTTGAAGAATATTTTTAAGATAATAGCTGTAGAGAATAATGTAGTAAACACCCATATATATATATCATCATCCAGAGTTTCGTCCTCTTTTCTTTATCTTTTTTGACAGTCCTTTATATCTTCCACCCTAGTCCCGTCTGTGACTTCTTCTGCAGACCCTGTCATGAATTATTATGATCATCCTAGCCTGTTGATATTGTATGCACCTATGTGTATGTAAATGCCTTCACAGTTTGCATAGCAGTATCATACTGTATTTACCTTTCTTGTATGTTTTTACTAAAGCTCGGGGGGAAAAACTTCTTTTCTCACTAAATTATCATTTTGAGATTCATATGCTATATAACAACATCTAAGTAATGGCTTTCATTTTCTGTGTACATTACTACTTGTAATTTAAGTATTTCTCACAACAAACTTTTGCTGTTCATTTCAGTCTGTCACTGTATTTAGGTAGCTTGATTTTTTTTTAAAACTCTTCTGCACGCGTTACCCTTTCTTCAACATTGTCTTCATTTCCCAGGGTAAAGCCCTAACGCGAAGAAAGGAGGCCTGTTTAGCGGTTGGCTCTTAGGCGGCTGAGAACAGTGGGGGTGGGAGTCATTGCCTTGAGCAGCTCCTGTGCTCCCATCACTGCTGGAGCCGCCTGTATTTTGAGCAAACAGGCCTTACTCTCAAGGCATTTGCCTGCTTCTCTGGACATGGAACAGAGCATAGGACTCAGCTGCTTGAGCCAGATAAAGTGGGAATCCTGAGAATTCCCACAAGTCCCTTTCCTGGGCTCATTCAACTGGACACTCGTACCCTTCAACGCTTAGTGGCCTGCCTTGTGTTACTCGCCTGTGTGTGTGTTTTTGCGCTGGCTGAGGTGGAGCCTCACTCCTGTTAGAATCTCAGTGCCGCAGTACCGAGGACGGAGGAGTTCAGTGGAGGAACTGACGTGGGACTCACTGCCTCCTGTTATGACCGTGCTTGTGCTGCAGGAACTTCACAGACCAGCTGCGGAAGATTTCCAAGGATGCGGGGATGCCCATCCAGGGTCAGCCATGCTTCTGCAAGTACGAAACAAAACTGCATGTATGTTCTTAGTTTGTAAATTGGTGACCTTTGTTGCCCTTAACATCAGTAGTCTGGTCATTCCTCATGTGTAAAACACACCAATCTAGTCTTCATCTTCCATTCCCTTTCTAGACGTTCCTTTACTGCTTTAGATGTATCGATGAGTAAACAAAGGCTTATATGCAGTTGTTTCTCTTTCCAGGGGTTTCACGGACCAGCTGCGGAAGATTTCCAAGGATGCGGGGATGCCCATCCAGGGTCAGCCATGCTTCTGCAAGTACGCGCAGGGGGCGGACAGCGTGGAGCCCATGTTCCGGCATCTCAAGAACACCTACTCAGGGCTGCAGCTCATTATCGTCATCCTGCCAGGGAAGAC